ATTTCTTGTTTAACGACAGTGGGTTAGGATAAAGATAGTTCTTGTTTAACAACAGTGGGTTAGGATAAAGATAGTTCTTGTTTAACAACAGTGGGTTAGGATAAAGATAGTTCTTGTTTAACAACAGTGGGTTAGGATAAAGATAATTCTTGTTTAACAACAGTGGGTTAGGATAAAGATAGTTCTTGTTTAACACAGTGGGTTAGGATAAAGATAATTCTTGTTTAACAACAGTGGGTTAGGATAAAGATAATTCTTGTTTAACAACAGTGGGTTAGGATAAGGATAGTTCTTGTTTAACAACAGTGGGTTAAGGTTAAGGCAACATTCTAAGTTTTTCCTTAATAATAACAGTAGCTAGGACAGTCTGCTACCTTTTAAACTTTACAGGTTTCTCATTAACATTATCTTTGAATTAACATTGATGTTGGTAAGACTAAATTGTATAAAATGTGCTAATTTCGTCATAATACTAGCACGTTTAATTGCAGTGGCTTGTTATGATGCTAAACAAACTGATTGAATTGTCTGAAAACAGTCTTAGCTGAAAATATAGTCTATATAAGTATCTTCAGACGATTGATATACAACTGAAGATACGAAGTCGTTTGTGGCTACATTAAACAGTTTAAATCATGATTAAATACATAGATGGCATATACCATATAACTCGATTTCTTCAAAGTTGTCAAAGTCCAAGATTAAACGTAGAAACAAAGTGACCATGTTTTAGCAAATACGAAAAGGGTTAATTGAAATTAGATCAGTTAAGTTTTATCTTTTCAGAAAGCTGGTTTTTTATTGTTCATTCTGCCCTAACGAGGAAACAACTGTTTGGAAAATAGTGGGAAAGTGATATCAGAACTTGACTAACCTGGAGGCTTCATCACTGTCACTTCTTCTCACCAGGGGAGTTGTGTAAGCGATTGGAAACCAACCACATCTAGATACAAATAAAACATTTGCATTAGCAGAAGTCAATGATAAACAGGAGCCACTTTTATAAAAGGTAAAAAATAAATCTATGATTTCTCGCGATTTCTGCATACTTTTTAAGGGGGGGAGGGTGTTACAGCTAAAATACAACGCTACTCGAGTTAGAAGTACAAACCTATGATTTCTTGTGTTTTCTCCATATTGCCAGCCCTTGTTTCGTTCTCCAATCAACGTTATGACGTCACTTTCATGAAAGCTAAGCTGATGATCCCCGCTGGACAAATAGGAATATAGTGCCCTGACCTGTGGACGGTCACCTTTCAAACCTCCTGGGTCAAGCATGCTCTTCTGTCTGACAGGTACCACTGAACAATGAACATTATAACTTATGATAAAGAAGTCAACACTTCATCATTATCGTGACGTAAACAAACAATGAACATTATAACTTCTGATATAGAAGTCATCACTTCAACAATATTGTGACGTAAACAAACAATGAACATTATGACTTCTGATAAAGAAGTCATCACTTCATCAATATTGTGACATAAACAAATCGGTGAATTTTAATAAAACAAGCAGGACATTAATGTAGTTTTCTGTGAAGAATTTAACGTTTTTAAACGTGTTCTAAATGGAGTTATAGTTACTTTGCCATTTCTATTTTATTGATAAAGTTCTTTAAAAACCTGCGTAACGTGATTAGAGTTGTGCTTTTCCAGAGAATAAATTGAACTTGGTTAACTTTCTGGTTGCACTTTGCTTTTCTTACACGAGATTTGGTACTCACCGTATTCATTCGCTGAAAGACTGGCGCTTGATGACGTCAAATTAAAGTCTGATTTGGCGCGAAATAATGGTTGCGGGTAAAGATCTTCATCCAGTTCCCTTATGTCTAAACAACTGGCATCGATGCTCCGGGTTTTCCTGATCCTAGATACTACACTCATACGGTCGTCGATATCCGGATCTCTCTGAACCAAGGAAAATCTAAATCCTCCGTTACCCTGAATTAAAAAATACAGCATTTCAAAATACAGTGTACAAAAACAATGGGTCTAATACTACTTAACCCTAATTGAAACAAGATGGTACTTCAGTACAGAGCGTGACATTACAATGGACCTAATCTTACCTTATCCTGAATGTAAAAAATGTGTCTTAGCCAGATGTGAAACATTTATAATATATATTAATATTGTTAAATGGAACTTCTTATTACAGGCCGTGAGCACACATGTTTACCTTTTTTTTTTCTTTAGTATAAATCTAGCACTTTGAAGCTGCTGATTAATAATTTTTTATACTTTAATAACGTAACGAATATTAGGTATTTGTAACATAAATAAGTTACCGACCATTTAATGTAATAAGGTATACAAGTTAACAGCATACTTTTTACCACATTCTTTTTAACCATTTGTCGTTTGAAATCAAAAGTGGGTAAAAAAAACACTTAAGAGCTATCGTTCGTCTCTCACAAGTCACTTTCCAATACGTTTTTTATTCAATTCCAGAATTCATAAGTTGGGTTGGACGATGAGAGATAAAATATTCTATGAAATGCTTTACACTTTAAAAGTTATGGTTTTTATGAGAGTTATTAGGCCTATTGGTTTTCTAATATTTCGCGGCCTTTCGGAGCTCAAACCGTAAATAGTAAAGTATACATTTGACCTAACAATACATCGATTAAAGGTTATTATTTCACAATAATAAGATGATTAATCAATATCAAATTATAATAGTGGGTTTGTGAATGTGGTTTTTGTCAGGCTAATTCTAAAATTGTAACTTTTGATAAAAAATTATGGAAATAAGAGAAAAAAACGACAACAACATTCAAAAGAGAAAAAATATTTATCATCGTATTTCAATTCAACGAAAAATTAAGTCATGGTCAGGGATCTAACTTCTGTTGATAATTTCAATAACGGCCACGATTAATTTTTAGTTTAGTTAAGATACAAGATTCAATAATTTTTCTATTTTCGATATTTTTCAGACCTCTTTATAGTTAAGGAAGAATATATTACACGAAACGGTAGATACTGTAGGCTGAACTTACCTTCATCTAGTAGTATATAAAAGGTAGATACTGTAGGCTTAATTTACATTCATCTAGTAGTATATAAAAGGTAGATACTGTAGGCTGAACTTACCTTAATCTAGTAGTATATAAAAGGTAGATACTGTAGGCTTAATTTACATTCATCTAGTAGTATATAAAAGGTAGATACTGTAGGCTTAATTTACATTCA